ATTTTTGTTTTCTGTCAGTGAGAATTATATAACCCATTATGCTTTCCTTTTTGCCTTGCCTGTAAGGCAACTCAAATAAATGTAACGCAGAAACTCAGTAATTATTTAGCCCTCATGTTTAGTCTATTAAGAATTTTTACTCTCCTCTGTTATTTTTAGGGAACTTGGTAGTTAGATCCCTGCTCTTAAGCTTACTTTTTTCATCTCTAATATAAAAATAATACCTACTACTTGGATTGTGGTGAAAATCAAATGAAATGTCCTTTGTTAATTGCTTAGCCAGTGTGTCTAGCACTTTGTAAATGCTGGGGGGCTTTCCTTTTTTTCTTGTGATTTTTTATTTTTTTTGTTTCTAAGTTTACATCCACAGTTCATACACATCTTTACTGTTGAAGCCAAATAGAAGCAAGTGAAATATAAATACTCAAAATAAAGATGAGATCATTATAAACATCACATGAAGAACGTTGATCCAGTCTTACGTGTATACCCAAGAAACCTGAAGGCAGCAACGTGAACAGGCACATGTATACCAGTGTTCATTGCAGCACTGTTCACAACAGCCAAAAGGTGGAAACAACCTAAGTGTCCATCAACAGATGAATGGATAAACAAAATGTGGTGTATACATACAATGGAATATTACTCAGCCATGCAGAGAAATGAAGTACTGATACATGCTACAGTATAAACTTTGAAAACCTCGTGCTGAGTGAAATAAGTCAATCAAAAAAGGACAAACGTTGTATGATCTCACTTATATGAAATAACAAGAACAGGCAAATGTATTGAGACCAGTTTGTTAGTGGTTACCAGGAGCAAGAGGGAGAGGGAAAGGGAAGTCATTGTTCAGGAAGCAGTGAGTTTATGGTGATGGGAAATTTGGCAACAATTATGGATGATAGCTGTACAACATAATTCATGTAATTGATATCACTAAATTATACACCTGAATAATGTTGAATTAGCAAATGTTGTGTTATGTGTATTTTCACAACAATTAAAAAGAAAACATTGACATGGTGAATGTGAAATAATGAAGTGAGGCAACTGTATGTAGAGCTGATGGAAAAAGTAACGTACCCTTTGTAAACAATGACCAAGGTTTGAGTTACTAGGAAATAGCAGACAGACCAAGCTGTCACTCAACAGCATGAAATGGTAGTTTTTCTGAGCAAAATTCTGGCTTGAACTTAAATCTGAGTCACAGTTTCAAAGTAGCTGCAGCTCTTTTGAAAGTTTTGTTTGTGCTGCATGTTTGTGTGCAAGTGGAAACGAGAAAGATCCTCCTAGGAGGATTTTACAGGTTCAAAAGCTGGGAAGCAGATTTATAGTTTCCAAAATAAGAATGAGTAGGAGGCATCCAGCGTTTCAGTGATGGAACTTCCAACTCTCAGTTGGAATAGAGCATATTAGGCATTTAGTCTAGCTGTCTCTTACTTACCAGGACTAAATATTAGATGCTCTGGATTTTATTTCCATATGGAAGCAATCCCATGTCAAGGGATCATGGCGTTTCTAATCTGAGACACGGATAGAATGCCTTTCCCTTTGGTCCACTCATGCCTAGTGCTGTAAGATTGGTGACTGATTCACTGGTCTTTTCAACCACACCAGCACATGGCTAGGATTATGGATTAGGGAACCATGTAATTTATCATCCAAATCAGGCATTTTTGAGAGTGAAAAGGAATGCTAATAATAATTAAGCCAGGGCAACAGACATAAACCGGAATTTTGTTGTTAGTTGCTGTCCAGTCGGCTCCACTTATAACAAGCTTATGTATAACAGAAGCAAATATTGCCCAGTCCTGCACCATCCGCACAATCGTTGGCTTGTTGGAGCACATTGTGGCAACTGCTGTGTCAGTCTATGTCATTGAGCGTCTCCCCCTATTTGGCTGACCCTCTGCTGTACCAGATGTGAGGTCCTTTTCTAGTAATTGGTCTTTCCGATGAAACGTCCAAAGCAAGCAAGACAAATAAACCAAAACTAAAACAAACAAACAAAACCAAAACAAAACATTGTCATCAAGTCAGTTCCGACTTACAGCAACCCTATAAAACAGAGTAGATCTGCTCCATAGGGTTTCCAGGGCTGTAATCTTTATGGAAGCAGACTGCCGCATCTTTCTCCCACAGAGTGGCTGGTGGATGAGGACCAGCAACCTTTTGGTTAGCAGCCAAGCCCTTGACCACTGCACCATCAGGGCTCTGCCAGACAAATAGGCCTGGCCAAATTGGACATTTGGTCATTTTAACTAATGGCCCCTTTCTGTGTTGCCTCCAAAAACAAAACTGTTTTATATTTTTGGGTATATACTAGCCCTCCTCATATTTCTGTACTTGCTATAGCAGCACAGAAATTCAGAAAGCTGTCTTCCCTATGTTGATTTTCCTGAACTGTGAGTTTAATTTTCTAATTTGGAGTGAGATTTTTTTTGTTGTTGTTCAAAATCACTGTCTATTATTGAGTGCTATTTAACCAGTTAAAAGACTATCTTATATATTATTAAGTAAGCAATAATGGTCCTTTCTTTGGACTCTGCCAGCCAGGTAATAATCAGGGGGTGTATTAAAGGACAGAGGTGAACCTGAAGCTCTTAATGTCTACGCCAGGTAATTGCATACTTGGTGAAGGCTGAACCCTGGATTATTATCAGTAGTAGAATATTGCCTTCATTTTCTCCTTTGTGGTTACATTTAGGCCGTTGAAATTAAATTACTGTTGATGACTCTCCACGTTCAGAACCAGTGTAATTGAAAGTTAAATTTTAATGTATTATGTGTCCTCCCATTCTTGTCTTAACAGAAAAAAGCTTGGCCTGACCATAAGCGGGAGTGCAAATGCCTTAAAAGCTGCAAACCCAGATATCCTCCAGACTCTGTCCGACTGCTTGGTAGAGTTGTTTTCAAACTTGTGAGTATAAAACACATGAAATATGCTTGGGTCCTAATTTAACAAAGCACTTCAAATTGCATTTATTATTCATATTTAAAGTTGAAATGAAACCCAGGTTAAGGTAGAAGATGGGACTATCTGAAGACAGAAATACTTGTTTTCCTGTTAATCCCAGCATCAGTGGTAGTGATGAAGTCCACAGCCCCTCTCTGAAGGCCCTTTCATCTCCTGGGAATGGAAACATAAGATCCTATGTTTTGGGATATGAGATGTTAATAATGTCTGTTATATTGCCTTTACAACTTTTCTACCATGAACTAACACACCGGGCAAATATATCATTTTTTGGTTGCCTCTTCAACTGAGATTTTGATAGGAAGATAGTTAATCTTAAATGGAAGGGTGCTTATATTTTTTTCTTAGCCATAATTCATTGAAATTATTTCTTCAGCTCCTCTTCCTGTACTGCCAGAATAGCTGGTGGATTCCGTGATATCCTACTCTGGTGAACCTTTCTTTCATAACAGATTTTTTTTTTTTGGCCAAACTTTGCTATGAGTATGTGTTACCCAAATTATTACAGGCCCCAGCTCCATTTTGTCCTGTCATTTATTGACTTTTTTTTTTTTTTTTTCCAGGTCCAGTCTAACATTTTGTAAGTTAGAAGGCTTTAAGAATGTAGAAGTATGAAATTGCTTGTAAAAGAATTTTGCATTTGGAAACTAAACTGGTGGTTAAGTTGCAACTTAGATTTTATTTTAAAGTTGTTACTGATTAAGTAATTCAACCTTAAGAAAGTGATGAAGATAAAGAATATGTAGAAAATTGTTTTTCTAGCAGACTTCCGTTTAAATAACTAAAGGTTACTCAAACTGATATTCATTTATATGTTAGAGCACTTGAAATTGTTTTTTGGTGTTTTCCCCCTTCACAGATGGAAGAAACACCCTCTGAATCTGAGAAACTTTACTCATTCTATGATCTGGAGTCCAGTAAGTGATCATCTGTCAGAATACTAAAAAAATAAATGCCTACCATTATTTGATGAGCTGGTGAACTGCTTTATTCTCTAATTTTGTTCTCTGGGTCTTTATTATGTGAGGCAAATCTAACAAAACGTTTTTATTTTTGTATACTGCCAGCACATTAACTTATTTAATTAATTCTAGGGTAGTGTTGTGGAAGGAGTTTGTGGAATGTTATGACAGTGTCAGATTAGTCCATTTGACAAAATAATTTTTCTTATAGTTTTGCCTTTTCTAGAATGCTATATAAATGGAATCATACCGTTTGTAGCCTTTTGAACCTGGCTTCTTTCACTTAGCATAACGCACTTGAGATTCATCCATGTTGTTGTGTGTATTAGTAGCTGGTTTCTTTTTTTGTTGAGCAGAATTCCATCGCATGGACTCACCACAATTTATTTATCCATTCAGCAGACTTTCGTGTTGTTTCCAGTTTAGGGTGATTATGAATAAGGCTGCTATAAACATTTGCATACAGAAAAAAAAAGGTTTTTTTCCTTCTATTTCTCTCTTCCTCTTTCCCTTTTTCCCCTCTCTTAGTTTTCTTTCCTGGTTTCTTGTTGATGTCAGGGAAGAATTAAGTAGTGAACAGGGAGTTCCAGGGAACTTTTAGGTTCACTGGTCCTTTAGATGGAAACCCTGGTGGTGTAGTGGTTAAGAGTTACGGCTGCTAACAAAAAGGTCGACAGTTCGAATCCACCAGGTGCTCCTTGGAAACTCTATGGGGCAGTTCTACTCTGTCCTGTAGGATCATTATGAATCGGAATCAACTTGATGGCAGCGGGTTTTTTTGGTTCTTTAGATAAGTAGCCCTGGTGGTCCAGCGGTTAAGTGCTTGACTGCTAACCAGAGGTTGGCAGTTTGAACCCACCAGCCGTTCCATAGGAGAAAGATGTGCCAGTCTGCCCCCGTAAAGATTACAGCCTCGGAGCAATTCTGCTCTGTCCTGTAGGGTCGCTATGAGTGGGAATTGACTTGACAGCAATGAGCTTTTTTTTTGGTTTGGTCCTTTATTGAGGGATGTGGCAGATAAGGATGACTTAGGCTCTGACAGCATTGAGTTGTCCTTCTCCCTAAATCCTGTGACAGGCAACCCAGCTGCTTGGGAAGGCTTTCCAAGTCTGAGTGTTAAGCACTGAAAAAAAAAAAAAAAAAGAAACAAAAAAACCCAAAAAGCAAACCCATTGCCATCAAGTCGATTCTGACTCATAATGACCCTATAGGACAGAGTAGAACTGCCCCATAGGGTTTCCAAGCCTGTAATCTTCACAGGAGCAGATTGCCACATCTTTCTCCTAAGGCGAGCAGCCTAGTGCTTAACCTCTGCATCTAAGCAGATGTAGGTTTATTCTGCTTTTATATTGGCACAGGTCGTTTTCATTGAAGTTGTGAATGACATCAACCTCAAACCAGCCAAAGCTCATAGAGTAAATTCACGATACAGTTTAATATTTCAGCATGGAGGCAAATAAGATGATCTGGTGTAGATTTATGGTTATGGGATCATACGTGCCAGTGCTAATAAATTATTATTTAAGAAATCATTGGGTTAATAGTTCTGTGGAACAGGTAATTTAAAGAAAATATGTAGACCTGACATTGACAACAGTTATGCTATAATTCACCTGATGTATCTTTTCAGGTTTTATTAGAGAGTTAATTAGTCATATTTTCTTGTTCTGTTACTGCTAGGTAATTAACATCTTTGATAGTCGAGTTTTACTGTTAACATTAGTCCTGCTCCGTAGCAGTGTCATACACCACACTCTGCCTTAAGTGAAACGCTCTTGAACATTACTAATTGAATTGTGCACACTTAGCCTTAACACCAGTTTGTGATATAGTTTAAAGTGAACTTTTAGGAGGATAATATTGGCTTTGGAGCCTTCTCCTTCTGTTTGGGTCGAGGCGGCACCGTATCTTGTTTATTCAACCTAGAAGTAACTTGAAGTTGAGATTTCCTTGGTCGATCCATGTTTTCTACTTGATGTACTTACCTGTATGCCTAATTTCACCTTACCGAAACTTTCTGAACTTTTTAGTTCTCACTTTTCTCTTTTTGCTAATCGTCAGTTAATCACAACTTACTTGTAAATTGTTTAATGGAAAACTCTGCTTAAGACTGACTTAATAAGAATTCATGGTATGTTCTGTATGTACAAGATGATGTAGAATATTTGGTAACACATACTTTTACTAATTTTGATTTTAATGCTTTTTCATCTGTATGTACATTTATTTTGTCTGATTCTTAATTTTGTATTATAGATGAGTTGTGACAGACTTTAGGTGATAAAATACTATTGTGATTTGTAGTTGTCAAAAAGTAAAAGGGCATGTATTTGTTCTCTGTCAGAATGAATTTAGGGTAGGATGTATCTGGTTTAACAGCTGCCATTGGACACGTGAAAATTATCCCCTGAAAGTTCACTTTGTGATTACACTATTTTTTCTTTAAAAAAGATATTAACAAACTGACTGAAGATAAGAAAGAGGGCCTCAGGCAACTTGCAATGACATTTCAACATTTCATGAGAGAAGAAATACAGGATGCTTCTCAGCTGCCACCTTCCTTTGACATTTTTGAAGCATTTGCAAAAGTAAGTGTTAGGTTTTGTATCTTTGCTGGTGCTGTAAATCAACCTTTTATTTCTCATTCCATTGTTAGCTACACAGATGTCTAGAGCCTCACTGGGAAATGCAGGACTCTTCATGTCTTGTATCACTCCCATACCTCAATGAGTAGAGAATGTATTACCCATATTGAAAAGGATATTATGTTTCTGTTTTAACAGTCTCCATATTATTGGCCAGAGTACATTCCTGAACTCTTAAGAGAAAGCAGCATATCCCTTTATTTCTTACTAATGGATTTAAGTTTGACGTTGCGTTCATTTGGTTTTGTGGTGGTTGGTTCAGTATAGAGCTTGTTTTTGAGGGAAACAATTTATTTGAACCCATAAGTCATATGAGAACATACCAGTTTCTAATTTAAAAATAATGGTCTAAATATCTATTTAAATATTCAGGTTGCTAAAATACTAGGTCAGTAATAGAAAGCAGGTTTCATTTGGTATTTCATCTGTGATTTGTTGGTAATGGCCACCTAAAGTGCTCTTTTTGAAAATGACTTGGAGGGTTGTCTGGGCCCAGGGAGAAAGAGCACCATGACTGAGTCTTGATATTTACCCTGGGGTAGGGATGAAGGATCAAATACGCACCCTTGCTGTGTATATTGCTGTCCTTGCTCTCATACTGTGTGTTTGGGTTTGTTTTAATATTGATCACATTTTAATAATAAGTTAAATTTTATATTTGAGGATGATTTTGCAACTTTTGTAATTTTTGAGCACACACTTAATGACATATTTATCCCATGAATATTTTTAAGGTATACTTTTCAATCTGCCTGTTTTCTAAGAATTTAAATGGGACTAGTAGGATTGCTAGAGGTTTATCCTTATTTTCCCCAAATGTATTTTTGTTCTTTTAGGTATGTTTTTTATGATTTTCTGATCATATGGTCTTAGCAATAAATTCTGGTTTGTGTATAATCTACAACTGATTATAAAATAGCTACTTACAATGCATCTGAGAAGTTTCTCATATGTTTATTTCATATGCTTCCAAAAATTACAACTTACATGAGTACCATGTGTACAAGGCACAGAAGCTCTTTTGCTATTAAACTCTATAAAAAGTAACACCTACTGAGAGAAAAATGTACCTTAAAAATAGACATCTACTTTATGATGAGTTTAACTTCATTCCTAGTGTTAAGTCTATGGCCATTAAAATGTTCATGTGCTTATTATTGGTGTTATTAATATTCAGAAAAGTATTTCTAAATACTTTTCTCTTGCTAAATGTAAAATGGGAAGTTTTATTCATCTTGCTGCTTTTAGCTAGTTTTAATCTTATGTATCTTTCAATGAAATTCTTTCCATGTTTTGTAGAGGGAAAAATTCTGTCTCTCTGATTAAGCTGACAAATTTTTAATAATATGCTCTGCTCCTCCTTCTCTGCTTGTATTTGTTATTGCTATAAAATAGAAAATATGTATATTCAAGATTTTGTTAGGGAACTGGACTCAGAGATGTGATTCTTGCCTTAAAATGTAGGTTAACAATCAGAGGGAAGCACTTGAAAGAGATCACACTTTTTTTTTTTAAGATCACAGTGGTCTTCAAGTAAGCTAATTGACATCCTGCTAATCTCAAGGATGAGCCACCGAGCTCATGACATTGCAAATGTGAGATAATAAAGATCATGTCAAGCACATTGGAAGTGGTTGGAGAGTACTGGGCAGAGAGGTTTATCGCTATCTATTACCATTTTACTGGCATAAAATTAATCACAGAGAAGAAACAGGCAACCCCTGGCATACTCCCGATAGTCACTGCTTCTGTACATACAAACTCTCAGGTGTAGCTCCATGCTACCCTGTCTTCTTCATCCCAGTGAACTAACTTCTGAATTTATGTGTTGAAGAAGGCTGGCTTTACCTGGCCTCAATAAACAAGATCCTTGTTTTCTGTTTTGCTTTTGGTCCTAATCACATTCAGATTCTGTGCAGGTATTAGGCATGCTAAGCTTATGTTTCAGCTCATTTCATTGTCGAACTACATGGAATTCCGAGAGCCTCTTTTTAGAATTTACTTATATCTTATTTTTTTTTACATTTTGATTGTGGACCTTTTCAAACACACACAAAAGTAGAGAGTCAAGTATAATGAACCTTTGTTTATCACCTGGTTTCAGTAATTTTTAAACTTGTTTTATATCTTATATATTTAATACTTAGATTTCATATAGCTGTCCTTTTTCTCTATTCAGATTTCCAAACATTCATTAGAACTAGTCTTTTGTTATCAAGCCCCTTGGGCTCTTGAGAGGTGTTCGTTAGCAAATTCACTTATTCGTCAGACTTTTTTCTTTTTTTTTTGCAGTCTTATTATGTGCAAAGCAGTCTTGATACAGGGTTATAAAAATATGTAGCTAATTCTCAGTCTGCAGGTTATCTTTCAAGATACAAAATCCCTCTGTAAGATCAGAAGTCTTACTGGAGATATGCATATCTTTATCAAGCTTCCACTTACCCAGAAAGGAAAGGGGTCAGTGGAGGATGAGGATGTTTTTAATCCTGGGATATGAGCTGATAGCCTTTTCTAATAGAAGCCCATAATTAGTCCTGAAAAGTTGGCAGTTCGTGTTATGAATGTGCTGGGGTTTCTAGTGAAAATATAGTGTCTCTCTCCTGTTGGACCAGGTTCTCAGTGCTGAATGTGCTTCTGCTGTTTAAGTCTTGGTGTTACTTAGAAAAATTTCCAAAGACCTTACAGTGTAGTCACTTGCTGGGTCGCATCCCCCCCCCCCCCCGCCATACACATAGTGTTTGATGTCTCCGTGTGCTATCATAGCGCAAAGAGTGCAGTCTGTGACTGACTGTAAACCAGAGACTCTGATGGTTCTCACAGTTACGGCCAGTGCTGATGTCTCTTGAGATGCTGGGGGTTACCTTTCTGGTTGGAAAGAAATTTTGCAAATAGGAAATGGTATCTTGCTCGTTGGTTTCAGCCCGTAGCTGTTGTGGACAGAAATCACGTACTACTGCCTGCATTCATAGCAATCCATGATTTCAGAATAGTTCCTGAGACTTCATGTAGAAAATATAAGAATAACCTTTGTATGGTGAGTTAAATGTCTCTTACATATGCATCTTAAAAGAATGAAATTAAAATTGTAAGAGTGCTTTAGTTGTCTTATTAATTCACTGAAATGACGTGGAATGTGTAGTAGTCTATTCTGTCCCTCAAATCATAATTGATAATTATTGGCAGTGGTTATTAATAGCCTAAACTTAAGTTCAGTAGGTCTGCTCTTTAGCTGATTTTCTATGCACAAAAACTTTTTTTTTTTTTTAAATTAGGGATTGTTGTACAAGATTTTAGAAAAATATATTTGTTTTCCTGGACTGATGACTTCCTTTTCTAAAAAATGCATTTGGCAGGCTGATTAGAAATGTGATAAGATCTGAGAAATACAGTTAAAAACAGGCTAGTTACATAAAACATTTCAAAAACAAACATTAAATTGGAAGCAACAAGAATGAAAGTGACCTTTCTAACCATAAAATATATGTCATTGTTAGTGTTTCCAGAGCTCTGCAAAGTACTATTTTACTTTGTGATGTAGTGCGACTGGCACAGAATTTTTTGATTAGAATTCCACATCTGTTTGAGAAGATGCTACCCTCCCTTTCTTCTTTCAAACAAAATAATAGTTCTCCTGGTAGCATGTTATTTGTATTCTTTAGGGCATATATGTGACCTCCAGAGCTTGCCTTTCCAAAATCTAATTTTTAATACTATTAGTGGCAGTTGGTTTCACAATTCACACTGCAGTTGTATATATTTAAAACTGAGGATTTCAGAAGGTGTTTTTTTTATACTATGATACTTACATTGTATGTTCAGTTTCATTCTGAGTAAATTCCTTTTTATTGGGGGAGAATTCCTTTTTACATGAGAAACAATGGAGAATGTGTTAAAATAAGAGTCTTGCTAATTAATTATAGGAAAAGAAACAGTGATATAATATTTTTGATTGAGATATCTTAGAAATAAGACATAAATATAACAATGATGTATTCACTATTACTCGCATCTGGCTGGTATGTGCCTTTAGATTTAATTTATTAAATAAACTGTGATGCTCTGCTATAACCTCATAATTTTAATAAGTATATAAATCAGTATGGAGGAACAATTACTAAATAAGCCTGTTTTGGGTCCTTTGGTTTTTCTGAAGGATGCTATACTTCAGTAAAAAGCAAGAAAAAGTTGATCCTGATATCTTCAGTTTTCAATGTTGAATTTTCGGTTCTGTCAGCCCTCTCATTCTGGACATACTGGTGTTCTGTTACTTCAGTGTTGCTGGTAGGCTAATTTGTGGGAAGAGTATTGCCTCTGTTGTTTTGAAAGGTCAGGAGCATGCGTGTGTGTTTGCCACTTGAGGGTTTCAAGTTCATGTAGAACCAAATTTTGAGCCTTTTGTTGATGAGCTCAGTTGGGTTTTACCACTGTAGCATGCTATCAAGTAGTAAAGAAGGCAATCTTTTGAATTAATAAAGTGATGAATTATCTAATTACAAAGTTGATGTGAAATGGCAGTATGATAACTTTGACTGCATTACTAAATGATCCCAGTGACTGATCAGATGCGCTTGGGTTCCATTAAGGAAAAATATGCCATTAAATATTTAATACTAAAAGTGAGCAGACACACCAGGATTGCTAACCTCCGATCACTGGAGTGCATGCATATGCGTTTGGGGGTAGCTTCTAGATGAGACACCTCTCTTGTCTGCTCAGAACAGCTGCTATAAGACTTAGTTATTGGGATTGTATCTCTTTTCTGGTTTTAAGTAAAACAGGCAAACGGCCAAGATACTGAACTGCATGCAGATCTGGCATGCTAACTATGAAATGCCAATGCGTGTATGATTTCTATGATTTTTCTTTATTACAACAGATTGAGTCTCTAAGTTGATTCAAGAGACGATTATTCTCAAAAATGTTCTCCCACCTTTAAGTAAAGT